AGTTGAATATTTCAGGCCATTTTGAAAAACTGTTGACGACAAAGTAATACGTACAATTCAAATGTCCTATGTAATCAACATGCAACCTAGACAAAGGTTTATCAAGTAATAGAGTAGCTTTGATAATTTGCAGGTGGTAATTTTGCCGCTAGACATAACCAAATTTTGAATTCCTACTTCATTTTAGGTCATTATACATAATTTCTCAAAAGGGAATTCATTATTCCATAATGACTAACATGAAGCTACTTAAAAAAAATATTTTTTCAAGGAAGCAGGAATTAATAATTTTTCAGTGACCATGAGTACTTCATTTATTTTCAGTAACGCCTGGATTATTTCTTATTTCTTTCCATCTCATTTTTACGTCATTCATCATTTTCAAAATGTAGTCATTCTTCTTGGATTGTATTTTTATTTCGTCATTATTGTGCTACACAAAACAGTTTTTATTTCATTTTCAGACATTAAAGAATCCGTTTGAAAAGATTCCTTAAATGTTGTAATCAATCTGGATAAACAATCTGCATGTCCCAATTTCTTTGATGGTAAATACTCCATCTTAAAATCATACTTTAAATATTTCATCTTAAAATCATACTTTAGTAAAATCTTTCCCTAATGTTGCAACCTGTGGTCAGTATATGTCGGAATACCTTCTTTTTTTTTAAACCAAAAGTAGACAATATTGGGCGGTGATGTTTGCAAAATAAATTTACCACTGTGTATCATTTTGTGAAAATGTTCTCTAAAAAATAACAGCTAGATTTTCTTTTTCAATTTGACGATACTTTTTGCAGTCGCTATTAGGTTTCTAGATACAGAAGCAATTGCTTTTATTTTACTATCTTTGAATTTATGACAAAACTTTCTTCTATGCCATAATCGCTAGATCAGATGTAACAATTATTTCTAAATCAGGATTGAAATGCATTAACGATTAATTCAGGTTTTAATGTTCTTTGTTTATCAAAAAGTTTTGACATTCATCTGACCAATTCTATACCGCACCTAACTTCAATAATTTATTTAAAGGCGCTCTCATTTTATGCATGTTTGGCGAGCCCTAGAAATGATTGTAAAGTAGCTACGTTTGTCGGAGCAGGTATATTTCTAATAATACTCGTCCTTGATAGGTCTGGTCTACGCCTACTTGCATCACTTATTTGTCCCAGGTATTTTATATTGGTCCTGAAAACTGGTTTTGAGCCCATAACTCTTTATTCTCTGAAATATTTGTGTTCTGAATGTTGCTGTGTTCGCTTTTTGAGATTGTCGTCCAAATATGCAAAGGCAAAATCTAAGCCAGCTTGCATCGTATTCTATCCTTATTGGAAAATGCGAAGTGCCATTTTGACACCGAATGCTAGCCTATTACAAGACTATAGACCCTTATGTGTATTAATTGTTATTTTTTTTTCTACATTTTTAACCCACTTCAATTTGTAAGTATGCGTCTGACAGGTCAATTTTTAAAAAAGATCTTTCCTCATTTAATTTAGAATAAGTTTCTTCTGAGGATGATAACAGATATGTGTCAGGTAGTAGACACTTATTTATATCTGTAGAACAATTTGCGTATACAAGAATATTTTTCGTTTTTATATTCACTGTTGGAGATATACACTCAGAATTATCTGTGGACGAAATAGCTCCTAGAGTTTCAAATCTGCCAAGTTCTTTGTTAATGGGTTCCACAACTTCAAAAGGTAAACTACGTTTGGGTTTAAAAACAGGAATTACATTTTCCTTTAAGTGAAAAATTGAATTTGCCTTAATACATTTGACAAGACAATCGGAGAACGCTGTAGGAAAATTCGTTTATAATACCTTTAAAAAAATCTTTGTCGCTATACGTTTTTAGAGGAGGAGCAATTCTTTTGTTTTACTGAACGAATTTACCTGTTCGATCCAGTCCGCGCCCAATAAGTTCAACTTATTTTTTAATACGAATGCCTTAGTTATTTTAATTTTTACCATGCAATTTCGACTCGGGAACATAATGTTTTTTTTTCCTGAGGCGCCATCTGAAACACTTTTGACCAATTTAAGTTTTACTTATCTTCACCTTCACAAATTTTCCGTTTTGGGCCTCATTTTGATTTTGAATTGTCAATACTGCTTGTATTGTATTAAAATATTTTACATTTGATCTTTGTCTTGGTTTGCTATCATTCTATCTATGGGCAAGTTTTCTACATTGGAAACACTTTATTTTTGAATGGGCAGTCTGCCTTAAAATGAAATCCTCAACGAGTCTAACAGGTTTGCTGCAGTTATTTTTTTTTTCTTTTTTACCATTTGATTGCGCTGTCTGCACTTGTACAATAACCCTTTATTCAATTTTTGTAGTATCATGTCTTAAATTTAAGATTTTTGAGATTCTTCTGTTAATATCTGTAAGGTTAACTTTGTTTCCTGCTCAAGTTTTTTGAAATGCGCGAAGGAGTTTATGCGTATTGACTCGTTAATCCTTGCGCACCAATTGAACATATCTGGAGATAGTTCGTTCAGTTTAAATTTTTTTCGCATTCACGATTCGTCATTATTTATTTATTTATTTATTTTTTTTTTTTGTGAGATTTAAGCATTGCCAGCATGTAGGAAACAGGGAGCTAATTTTATACAAAATTAACAGTTTTACCAAACGTAATATGTCCTGGACTTTCTGTAATATCAAATACGGTAGTTAGTGCGGCAATGCGTACGATACACTTTGCGACCCACTTGGCGACTCCTAGTCCTATGAACTGAAGTTCTCAGAGGGAATGGAAGTGTCTCTGTTCAATAATTTAGTGTAGCGAAGATCGGTCGCCTTTCTACAAAAGAAGAATACTATATAAGATTTTATAGACTGTCGCTTCCAAATCATTTGAAAAATTCGAACAGTAACAACATTTAAAATTAATAGCGTATGCTTCTAGAAGAGAAAATCATCATATAACCACGATAGTGACTTGCCACCATGCCGTAAAGAAAAGCTTAGAAAGGACATTTCTATCACTACTTGAACGTGCGTTAAGCGTGGACTTGAGAAATCTACTTTCCAGACAATCAGTTTTCTGAGAAATATTTTATAAATTTCAACCAAGTCAAGCTGACTATTCGGTCAATGAATGTCAAGTGTTTCCTATATAGAAACGGTTAATCTCAGCATTCCTATTCCATTACAATTACAAATAGTATAATGTATGATGTGCGTCAGAAAATACTAGGTTTTAAATTCATTTTTATTGTCAGAGGTGGACATTTCATCTAGGAAAAGGTTAATCTGTGATAACCCCAGTAAGTAATGAATTCACATCAGATGACGGCAGAATAGATTCTGTCATACCAGACCGTCAAAAAGAATCCAGATGTATCAGCGAGTTGATCTGATAGATGACTTCCTAACTAGTTGGTGCAGATTTGCCCATTCACTAGATGCCAATAACTACCGCCGACATGTAAACACGTGACCGACCCAACTGCACTTAGGATGGGCAGGCGTGGGAAGAAACGTCTAACATGTAGACATATAAGCACCGCACGAAAGGGAAGAAAAAGATAGTTTCTTAATTTATGGTAAGATACTAGGATTCATGTTGGAAGCAAAGCTACTCAACGGTAATTGTTGAAGTTTAGTATTGAATTAAGTGTAATATTACGTAAAGAAAATGAAATTACCTGTTCTTAGTAAAATGTATGACGACAACGTTACATTAGTATATAGCAGTAATATTAGTCAGCGAACAAGTGTACATGTGTGCGTGTATATATATATATATATATATATATATATATATATATATATATATATATATATAAATAGAGATATACAATATTTGTTTATACCCAGCTTTTTCTTCTTTCTAGAGCATCGAACATTCTGTGGTGGAGATGTCTTCAAAACAAGTGCCTCAGGGTGACTGGAATATTGCCTTAAAAACAGTAACTTATTTATTTGAGAGTTCGATTCGTGCGGACTTATGTCAGAGTAAACTTAATTAATTTTTTTGATCAATTTTTGTCAGTCTCTCAATAACAAATTAACACTTTACATTTCTATTATCAACTTAGCATCTTTCTCTCTCTCTCTGTGTTTCGACATATTTAAAAGTATGCCTTTTAAGTAGATATTAAGAGACAGAAAAAACCTCTTTAGAAACAAAGAAAAGATTACTGTTACGTGATATCTGTCCTCCTAAATTCTGAGCAATCTCAAAGCTGAAGAAGAGACTTGAAGCAACAGAAATGTGGTTCTACAGGATGCCGAGGACACCATGGACCGAGCACGTGAGCAACGGCGAGGTTTTAGAGAAAATGGAAGCGAAAAGAAAACTTATACTTAACATCAGGTAGAGACAGTTGAAATTTCTTGGACACGTAATGAGGAAGGAGGGTTTGTAAAATCTGATACTCACAGGACAGATTGAAGGACAAAAGAAAACAGCGCCTAACATACTTGTTGGGCTTGAGTAAATTAATGGTAGAACAGAGTTTAGAAGAAATAGCGATAAAACAAAAGTTGTTAAGAGCTACAAGGACAGGAAGTTGTGGAGGGCCATGATCGTCTATATCCTGTAAGGACATGGCACGTAAAGAAGTTAACCTACAAAGCTAAAATCGGTAAATAAGAAATAGCAAGAGTGTAAAACACACACACACACACACACATATATATATGAAATATACATAATATCTTACGTTAATGTCAGAATCTTAATATATATATATATTAAATAGCTCTATTAATTAAAACATTGATCACTATATTTTCTTACACTATAGTGTATTTATATGTATTTGTATACGATCTCTGGTTCGTATACGTACCTTTCATACTCATTCGGTTATATATATATATATATATATATATATATATATATATATATATATATATATATATATATATATATATAATCTTGCAATAAGTATTTACTAAGCTAAAGACATTATAAAATTACAGATCGATAAATATAGGAGATGTTTCTTGGTTGCTTTGCCATACTGGTTACAGATCAAGCCACGCGAATTGTGATTATTAGAATTGTATAGATACTAAGCAAATCTGGCCAATTGATTCCCACTGTGATTTTATGGTAAGGAATTTCCAAATGTCTATTGTCGAAGTGGCATATCTTTTTGTGGGTGGTGAGGGCGATCCTTGATCGTATAAAAAAAGAATAAAAAGTACTTACATTTTTCATAGTCTAGACACAACTATATGACTAAGTGTTAGATATGTAACTATCTCAGCGACTGGGAAAATCATAGTCATGGATTTACTGACCAGGATCTACTGAACGATAGAAACAAATCAATTTGTTTAAAATAAAAGAAATAAAAAAAAAATAGATAGAAAAGTAATATTGTAAATAACAGAAACAATTAAAAGAATCTTGATTTAAATCGGATTCTAAATATAGAGGGATAAATCTGCAAACAATATTTTGCTTAGACAGATAGATAGATTTAGACAGATAGATAGATTTAGACAGATAGATAGATAGATAGATAGATTCAGACAAATAGATAGATAGATAGATAGATAGATAGATAGATAAATAGATAGATAGATAGATAGATAGATAGACAGGTAGATTCAGACAGATAGATAGATAGATAGATTCAAATAGACAGATAGATTTAGAGAGATAGATAGATAGATTCAGATAGACAGATAGATATAGATAGATAGATTTAGATAGATAGATAGATAGATAGATAGATAGATAGATAGATAGATTCAGACAGATAAATTGAAAATATGTATTAAATCCGTTAGAATAAGGAACAAGTAGGAAATCTTTATAAATTTAATATGCTTTGCTTTTCATCAGAAATTATCTTTCAGAGTCATATTTCAGTTTTTAAATTCTATGTTGAATTTTTACGGGTTGTGTGGACGTCGATTATATATTGGAATTAGTGCTATGCTTGTATAAAATAGATAGATAAATCGATGTGAACAGACTGAATGAAACAAGCATTAGATTGAGAATTGTGAATAGGTATAGATATACATATAAGAACAGTTAAATAAATAAAAAAACTGAGATAAAATAGTAAGCGAGAATAAACTGATAGAACAAGCTGAATGAGAGATACAAAGGAGGAAGGAATAGAGGAAAGAAGGAAGGAAGGAAGGAATGGAGGAAAGAGGGAAAGACGGACGGACGACCAAGCTTAAATGCATCGAGAAAAGCAACGATGCAAAAGAAATTCTATCATATTTTCTGGTCTATTGCTTAACTAAATGCCGAGTATATAAAGATTAAGAGGACAAAAGGCTTGAGTTATTCCAGTACACTGTGTTTATCTTGCCGTTTTGCATTTTATAGATGCTTCTTAATATTGTGAATGATTTTTAAGCAATCGACACAATACCATATCTTCGTGACTATTATTGTCTAATAAGTAAAGAAAATTAACGGAAGTAAATGAGTTGCCATGTTTATTTTGCACTTTCTTAATATCGGGTGCTAAACAAAGAAACAAGATGCATGATTACGCTGTATGGCCATTTGCCGGAAGCTAACTACGCCAATGAATTCAATTCTCACTACATGTTCCTAGATAACAACGTGGCTGTGGTGAGCAAATATAGGAAATGAAACTATATCGAGCAAATCGACTTTGTGGTAATCGATATTGAACGAAGCAGCAATAATTTGTACTTGATTCTGAAAGCGCCACACACCTACCCATCCCAATATATATATATATATATATATATATATATATATATATATATATATATAGAGAGAGAGAGAGAGAGAGAAATATATACGGAAAAACAAACAAAAAACCTTATATACAATTATGCTGTTTTAATGTTAATATGTCAACGTCGGACGTTTCGGTCTAATAAACCATCTTCAGGACATATTCATAAATTATAACATTATCAATACAACATGACAAAGACGATGTACATAAGAACAAAACTTATCCAAACAAACAACTGAAAGTTTTATTTATGAATATGTCCTGAAGATGGTTTATTAGACCGAAACGTCCGACGTTGACATATTAACATTAAAACAACATAATTGCATATAAGGATTTTTGTTTGTTTTTTCCGTATATATTTTTCTTCATACTGTCGGATCTATATCCATATATTTGTTTACATATATATATATATATATATATATATATATATATATATATATATATATATATATAAAAGAAATAATCATATATAGAATCAATCAGCAATATTAATGCGATTAATGGCGAAATCACTTCACTAGTAGAACATAATGTATGCAATAAAATACTGTTAATCCATTGAATGATGTGATCCACATTATAAAATTGTTTTCAGATGTTTCTAGTGTATATTTTTTAAGTTAAGCAATTACTTTCGAAGATCCATGTCTCCATCATCAGGCTGTAATTTTTTTCCTTTAAAGTTAAAACTTGCAGACGAAATAATTGTTTGTAGACCGAAAGATGTTTTTTTAAGAGTGTGCTATTTATTGACGGTTGTACAATCTCGGAACGTGCGAGTCGCAACGCTAAAGTTCAAAATTTCAAGTGAGAATTTTTATATGAATTTTGTAATATGGTAAATCCGAGAATTCTTTGTTTACAAGTGTTTTTCAGTTAACATGACATAAGTGTATATTTTAAAGGAAAAAATTACAGCCTGAGGATGGAGACATGGCCTTCGAAAATACTCGCTTAACTTTAAAAAAATATACACTAGAAACATCTGACAACAGTTTTATAAATGAGGATCACATCATTCAATAGATTAACAGTATTTTAATGCGTACATTATGTTCTACTAGCGAAGTGATTTCGCCATTAATCCCATTAATATTGGTGATTGATTCTGTGTATGATTATTTCTTTATATATAAAATATATGCTGCCTAATAATATATATATATATATATATATACATATATATATATATATATATATATATATATATATATATATATATATATATATATATATATGTATGTATCGAGTGTGCTGGCTGGTAGAACAAGTAAAACGTTGAACCCCTACTCATATACTGGTATCAATTAAATTAACATTTGAAGTAATATATTTCTGACAACACTCTGGGAAATATACCTCCAATATCAGAAATTTTAAAATCTGTCGTATTCACTGGCTAAGTGACGAAAGACAACGATGAAAAGCGTCAGCAAATATTCCTGTGGTGATGTCCCGAGATACTCGCTGTTGCAGAACATGTGACCTTGTATGCAGGTCACTAGCGGGACTGAAGTGTCACATACGACACAAACATTAAAACTGAATGAGGTTGTCGGATCCTCATACAAAGAAATCGACGGGGGAATCCATCATATATAATTCAGGGTGTCTAGAAAGTCATTAGACAAATGGAAAGTTTTATTAAAATTACCAAGAGAACTATATAGTGTCCAAAAGTTTATATAATATGATGTAAATAGTGAAGTTTATATGCAAATACTAAAGAAACAATTGGTTTAACAACATCACTAAGTATACTTAAATAATAAAACTCACCAAAAATGCATAAACAGTTAAAACAAACACACAACAAAAAGAACAATACAGGTAAAGCGAACACACACACAAACACAAACACACCGATGCACATACACGATCATACAAACATACAAGTGCGGGTGAGTATGAGCGTACATGCTTATGTATGTGCATGCGTGTACATAGACTGGCACGCGCAGAAACACACACTGGCAAAAACATACATACACACACAAAAATCCAACCATAACCTAAATTAAATGGTAAAAAATAAATCAGAGGCCAATGCAGAAGCTGAGGAAAAAATAAAAGAAAACATAAAAGAGAGGAAGGAACAAGAATAAAAATAAACATCCATTAATCGAAAAGGAACAAATAACACACGAATACTACAATAAAAGTAGAAGACAATCGAGAAATGACAGCAGTTTAAATCTGTTCCGACGAGTGGTTATACCTATATAGCTATGAAACTTTGATATATATATATATATATATATATATATATATATATATATATATATTTAAGCGTTTCACCCCAAGCAAGGTGGGAAGCCACTAGTACGCAAATGGTTACAGAAAATTTGAAGCAAGATCAGATAGGAGTGATAGAGGAAAAGATGAGGAGAAGGATAGTGGATAGATCAAGGCAACTGGAGATGTCGATTGATATTACATTTGAATAGTTGGAGATTATAGCTCTCAGGGAAACTGGAATAGGGAAGGGAGTTCCACAGGCGAGAGGTGCGAGACATAAAGCTATTGGAGTAGAAGAGACGGCTACATTTAGGAGTTTAAACAGTGAAGGGGTGAGAGCAGGGTGCCAGCCTCGTAGGTCGCTTGAACTCATGAAGTCTGGGAACCAGCGAATGCAGCTCCTCAGAGCAATTGCCATGAAAGTACTTGTAAAACAGACAGAGAGAAGCGACGGCGCGTCTGTGAGAAAGTGACTGTAGACGAGATGCCAGATCAGGGCCAATTATATTGCATAACCCTCCTCTGGAGCCTATCCAGAACCCCGAGTCAAACAGAAGGGGCTTCAGACCATATATGGCAGCAATACTCCATGCAAGGGCGAATTGTTGATTTGTAGATCTGGAGGATCGATTCCGGGGAGAAAAATTTCCTGGAGCCAACTTTTCTTTGCGGTGGACGAAGCAATTGACTCAATGTATTTGTTCCATCTCAGGTCAGCCGTCAACGTGAGACCGAACAGCTGCAGAGATTTGCACTCGAGAAGTTGAGCGTCAGACATTCTAATGAAGGGAAGGGAAGGCTCTCTGTGGTGATTAATGAATGTGGAAACTGAGGTAACATCTAGAGGTGACTGCTTTCATGTCTATACATTATCTTCATGCCATGTTTGTAGAGTTTTGCCTCGACAATTTATATATGTTGTCCAGCGGACCATTAATGATAGTAATGCATTTGTATTATCGTGAGCCACTTTTATATTTATATTTACAAACGTCTATAACTGATATTTATCACTTTTACCCAAAAATACAGCACACCTTAAAACTATATTTTTCTTATATACATATATATATAGAAAGATATGTTTCATTGAATAATTTAAACATGTTCTAGTCTAGTTATTTTCAATTGGATCCTTTCATATTCACGAATAATATTTTTGGGTGCCCTTATTGAAGGACGAGAGAAAATCGCAGTGTTGATATATATTTCTTTTATTCCGAGTACTTTCTATATAGCATAGTGTCATCATCAGGGTATTGTAGTGTTCATTATTATCGAAGACAACATTGTTGTGTTCATCTGAAAGTTAAACTTCTTACCTGCGGATTGAAGAACGCTGGATCAGGGCGTGATCGTTGTGAGGTAAATAAGTATGGTTGTGGAGAGTATTTTACAAAATAAGTAGTAAAAGAAAGAAAAAAAACTATTAGTAATGATTCTTCCCCGCCCTTGACGTGTTGCAGAAAACATCGTTTATAAATTTAAATGTCCTCTAAGAGATTGTATCTTCAACGGTAAAAATAATATTTATGTTGGACACATTATAACAACGTTGTCTCGGCGGCTAAGATTTCATTTCATTTCATGTTCAAAATATCTGAACATTTACAACAACATACTTGTCCACATTCGCAATTCAGAAAAATTCTTGGCGAAAATATTTCTATACTTTTTATGAAAATAATAAACATAAAGTAAAAATTCTCGAAGCTATATTAAAAACTGAAACAATACCTTTTTAAAATTGATTACGAATACTCCACAAATGTTTGAAATGTTTCCATTAATAGTTTGTTTTTTTACTATATATATTTATATGTATATATATATATATATATATATATATATATATATATATATATATATGTGTGTGTGTGTGTCTGTGTGTGTGTGGGGGGGTTCTCTGTATAAAGGAAAAAAGACAATAGCAAAACTATTTTTAGCCGATGCATTTCGTCCAGTGCTGACTTTTTCAAGACAAAAAACGAAATGAATATATTGAAAGTATTTATAAACAACAAACAAAATGTTGTTAGCAACTAGAAGAATAAATAATTTAACAAATGCACTAATCATGTATAGAAAGAAATGCAACCACAATTTTGATTTTATAAATGCTATACTCATAAAAAAGAACATAATTCACTCAGAAGGAAAATCCTCGACAGTGCTACCATTGAATAGTATCTAAATATTTATCTACGTCCAGCTTTTTTCCTTAAGTTCACCTTCCGTAACTGAATCACTACCCTCCCAAGTCAACGTACAGAGCAAAAAATCAAAAGAAAAACGTTAAATCCGTCAACACAATACAAACAACATTTCTACACTTGAAAATATTCTCTTCAAACATAAAGTAATTGATGTAATTTTCAGTTGACCATATGAATATACAATCGCGTTTCTAAATTTTTCTAGTTGCTAACGACATTTTGTTTGTTGTTTGCATATACTTTCTTTCAATAAATTCATTTCTTTTTTACCTTGAAAAAAGTCCACATTAGAAGAAACTATAGTTTTCCTATTGTATTTTTTCCTTTATACATTTCGTCTAGGTTAATTCTGAGAAATTTTTACATATATATATTATGAAATGAACTAAGTCCGGCAATTATTTTAATATATATATTGTTTATACGTTATTTATATAGCCACAAATATTTAAGTAAATATGAGAATTTTCATAGAAAATATGTATTCTCCAACAGGAATCGAACCTGTATCCTACACGGAAACGTCATATAGCCCCGCAGGCTATACTAGTTAGCTTCAGAGGAAGCGTCTCGTTAGCAAGCACAAATTACTGCTTTTAAACTACAAATTTCCCATGATTTGTTTCGAAACCTCATATCTGCTCGAAGCGTATCTTATTTCTATGAAATTTCTCAGACATTAAGACCGGTAAATTTTATTAATGCTGTTTATTATAAAGAGAGTATTTACTTCAATATTTGTAAATAAAAATATAACGTATAAACAATGAAAAAAAAAAAATATATATATATATGTGTGTGTGTGTGTGTGTGTATGTGTCTGTGTGTATTGATGCAATAGAAAAGAACAGTTAGATTAATGACCCAAATTTCTTTAGTATTTATGTTTTTATTTCTAAAAAACAGTGCTCGATACATAAGTAGAGCTTAAAATCATAATTATTTTAAAAAATATGATTCCATTGCGACACGGAGATTGCTGTTTCGAAAATGAAACTCAAGTTCTTAAGTTTAATTTGAAAATTAAAGTTGAAATTTAGAGCACATTTTTCAATAAATAACCGAAGAAATTTTTTTTTCATTTATAGGTTGGAACTGGCCCATTTCTAACATTTATACGAGAAAAATTTTTTCGGCTAGTTATTCAAAATATCGCTTGAGAATGAAACTGTGCTCTAAATTTTCAACTTTAATTTTGAAATTAAACTTTAGAACTTGAATTTCATTTTCGAAAGATAGTAATTTCTGTGTCGCGATGGAATCATATATAAAAATAGTTATAATATATATATATATATATATATATATATATATATATATATATATATA